GAGGGGGGGGTGGCAGGGAAGGGGTTAAGCGGGTTATAAATTACCCATGGATGTGGAAATGTGACTGAGAGGAATAGAAAGAAAACTCTGACTGCTGGATTCTTTGCATTTCTAGCCTCTTTATTTTTCCCCCAGGTCACTTTAAAAGGATGCAGGCAGTCGGAGGCAGCTCCGCTGCGCCTCTCCTCCCGCTTTTTTTTCTGGGGGTTTGGGTTTATTTCTTTTTGTTGTTGTTGTTGGTTGTTTTTTTTTACACCCTGGCCCTCGAGCCAGATGCCGTCTCTGTCCAAGGACTTTATGGAGCGAGCTCTGGCTGGGAAATGGGAGTAAATTAGATTAATTCAGGGTAGATGTGCTGGGCCCGGCCCCGGGTGACACATGATGGAAGGGCTGGCAGGAAGGCGGTGGCTGGTGGGAAGCGGGACCGAGGATGCTCAGCTCGGTTTTGGGGACGTCACCAGGGCCATTCCTGGATCCAATTGGGAAGAATTTGAGGAGGGGGGGGTTCACTGTCGGGGAGTTGGGCCCCACGGCCAGATCCTGCACCACAACAGGGCAAAGAGGCCCTGGGAACGTGGCCACGGAGGGAGGGGGGGGGCAGCTGGACCGCCCCAGCCCCACGGGACCACGGTGCTGACGCTGACGAGCCCGCTCCGGGGGGGGCTGCTGGGATGGATCCTGCCTCCCGGGTGGTGGCCACGAGTCCGGTGGCTCGTGGGCAGGAGGGAGAAGCCCTTTAAAGGTCACCCTCAAAGGGCAGCGCCGGCCACGGCCGCGGCGACTCCGGCGCTGAGTCAGAAAGAGGGAGAGAGGTTCGGTCATCGCCGGCTGCTCCCCGTCACCACCACTGCCACCACCACTGCCACTGCCACCACCACTGCCACCACCACTGCCACCACCCCGCTCTGGGGACCACAGGCACGGCAGGGACCCCTCAGGGCTGGTTTTGTCCCCCCTGACCTTCTCCCCATCCCACGGCACCGGGTGCGGATGCTGCCGGGGGTCAGGGAGGGCGAATGTCCCCAAACCACGAGGGTGAATGTCCCCAAACCATGAGGGGGTGACACCGTGGGCATGTCCCAGGTGACACCAGTGGGGAATGACACTCCCCCCTCCTCCCAACACCACTGTCCCCCCACCTTCCCCTCCACCCCCTCAATGAAGCTTCAAGCCACCTTTTGATGATGACTTTGTTGGAACTGACCACGTCCCCTCTGCCAGCACCGGGATGGGTGTCACCCCCCCATTCTGGGACCCCCCCCCATCCCTGCTCCCCACGATAAATCCTAATTATGGTGGCTCCAGGTGGGAGCAGAGGGGTTTCCTGGGGAAGGAGAAGGCAGATGGGGGGAGCGGTGCCACGCAGGTGGGCAGAGGGGTGGCTGCTGGTCCCCAATCCGGCTTCAGGGGGGTGAATTCTCCTCCTCCCCCCCCCCAGC